GTGGGATTCACATATAAATCATGTATAAAAATCAAACGAATAATCATATCTGACTTGATTGTTTATAGTTCATGATGCGTGATCAAAACCGAAAGTTTCTGTGATATGACTGCCCTTGCACTGTTCACCATGTAAGAACTTACTCACTATGTAAGACCTTGTTCACCATGTAAGAACTTGTTTGTTATGCTTCAGAAGATTGGAGACTGTTGAGATATAGGCTTGGGGTTGATTAATGACTGTGCATTGAGTCCCCTATACAGAATTTTATTGTTTTTAACAACCATTTGATCAATAAATATGAGAGATGCTCTCTCAAAAAAAAAAAAGGTGAAAGGATAAACAAACTGTGGTACATCCATAAAATGAAGTATTATTCAGCACTAAAAAGAAGTGAGCTACCAAACCATGCAAAGACACAGAAGAACCTTAAATGCAGATTACTAATTGAAAGAAGCCAATCTGAATGTGTTACATGCTGTACAATTCCAACTATACAACATTCTGTAATAGGCAATATATAGTGACCATAAAATGATCAGCAGTTGCCATGGGCTTGCGGGACATAGAAGCAGGGAGGGATTAGTATGTGGTGCCCAGGGATTTTTAGGGCAGTAAAACTATTCTGTATGGTAGTGTAATGGTTGATTCATGTCATTATACATTTGTCAAAATTCATTGAATGTACAATACATTGGCTCATCAGTTGTTATCAAATGTACCTCACTAATGCAAACGTTAATAATGGGAGAAGTTGTTTGCAGGGAATTAGGGATATATAAGCACTCTGTACTTAACATTTATTTTTTTCTGTAAACCTAGAACTGTTCTAAAAATAGTCCCTTTTTATAATAAAGTGACTAACCCAAGGTCCACCAACTGATTTTTTATTGAACAAGTACAAAGGCTCTGTCTTGTTCACTAGGAAAGTCACCAGGGACATCTACATACAGCACCAAGCTACTAGGACACTCCAGAAGTTTTCATCACAAATACCACCAGAAGAATAACATTTTGACTGTGTCCAGAGTTCCAAACCCCTAGTTTTGGTAAGTGTCTAGGAGGACTCAAAGGACTCAGCATATAGTCATACACATGGCCAAGACTTACTTTAGTGAAACGATACAAAGCAAAGTCAGCAAAGGCAAAGATACATGGAGTGAAGTATATTCCTCACCTAGAGGAAACTAGGTGCAGTCATCCAAGAATTCTCTCTTAGTGTAGTCACGCAGGACACAATTACTTCAGCAACAAGTTTTGACAACACATGTGAAATGTTGTCTACCAGGGAAGCTCATTAGCAACTCAGTGCCCTAGATTTTTACTGGGGGCTGTGCACAGGCACCTCCTGCTGAACATGTACCAGACTCCCAGAAGAAAATAAGGTGTTCAGCATAAACCACAATGTTTGTACAGGCAGTCTAGGCACAGTGAGTCATTCTTACCATTTAGGGAAACTTTTATACCAGTGTAGTGAATTGTTTACCAGCCACGTTACCAGACACCAGCTAAAAGCTAAACTTGTAAGCAGACCTTTCTAATCACAGTACTCTCAGGCCTCTTATGTTGTCTTTTCTGCATAGGAACCTTGCACAAAATAGATGGAGAAGGAAGGAATCAAAAGTGCGCAAGAGGAAAATGTCAGAAGACCCCAGACTACTGCTTCAGTCCAGTTTATGGAAGAGAAGTAGTCCTTCACCTTTTCAATATTAACTCCATCCACAACTGAAGCCCTTGGCTCATCACCATCAAGCACTTCACATGATGTGATGGATACTCACTAAATCAAGTCAGCAGGTAAGCTTCAGTTTTGCCACAATCTGTGCAACCTTGGACAAGATGATTTCTAAGAACTTTCACAGCTAACGTCTATGGCCTTATTCAATCAGGTATCTCTTTTCATACTGAATTTTCAGTATGTCCATCTTTTACTGGATATTTTATCCATTCTTCCATTTATAAAGTCTTAACTAGTTAATTCCTTCCTTCCCTTCCCTAGTGCCACTCACCTGTCTCAGATAACCTTCCCTAGATCATTGTAATAGTTTCCAAAACTGATTTTCCTACTACCAGTCTCTCTCTGATCTAATTCATCCTACAACTTCAGCAGGTTTAAGATTCCTAAAATTCTACCCTAATTGTTTGTACAACCAAAGACTTTCAATGATCCTCCCAGGGCCAACAGAATTCAGTACAACTCCTCAGTGTGTTGCCCTGCAATATTGCCTCACCTTGCCTGATTCTATCTTGTCTTTCACTACCCTTCAGCCATAATGGAAATTCTGCTCAGACCCAAATGTACTCTATGTTTTCCAGGTTTAGAGTCATTGTCCTCCAACTGAAAGGTCCATTTCTCCACTTCCGTCCATCAAACACTTTACCTATTATCGACATTCAAATGTAAGTTTTTCATTCTCCAAACACTTCCCACCACCATAAAGATACCACATATACATACACAGCACAACATGTAAAAAATTCCACTTATATAAGAGTCATGTGTATTCTTAGTTTAACATCCCTACTATAAATTGCAGAAAGGCAGGAAGTATGTCTTAGTGTTTGTGTAGTCCTCTGCACCCAGCACAGTGTCTAGGAAGTGGTAGACACTCACCAAATGGTGGCTTATTTGAAATGAAATCACTCCAAGTCCCATTAAAAAGAAAGCTAATGTGGGAATGTCTTAGGGCAAAAAAGTAGATCTGTTTCTGGTCTACAATACAGCACTATTTTAACTCTATCCTTGTATGGAATCTAGAATCAGAAACTTAAAACAGAAAGGGACTCTGGAGATCATTGAGTACCACCCACTCCTCCTTTGACAGATAAGGGAATTGAAGCCAAGAAACAAATATCATACCCAGTCACACTGTGAGGTAGTACAGGAGATGGTTTGAGAACTCAGGGCTCTTAAGTCCCAGGCCATGGTTTTAACTGCAAGCACTACTATTACACATGGTTCTCTACTCAAGCAGGGTATGAGATAAGTCTTGAGACAGGAAGCTTACATTGTTACCAAGGCATAGATGGCAATGGAAGGCAAATACAGGCTTTCTGTGCATACCTCTTGTAATTGAGATTCTTTCTTTTTGGAAGACAGATGCAAGTGACGATCCAGCAAGGAATAAAACCTTTCACCATCCTTTTCAAATTTCTTTTTCCGCTCCTAGATGTGGGAGAGAAGGTGCAAATTAAGATGTCTAGTTTTTAATTTGGTCTGCTCAAAACTAATAATGAACTTGGTCAGGTTTCACATGGCCAATCTCTCTAGGTCCTCGGGAAAAAAAAGAGAGAGAGAGAATTTGCTTGTGCATTGGTCTCAGCAGTTTCAACTTCCTCAAATACGACCTTGAACCATTCCACCTATACAAAAGTGTGTTGCCTATTGGTATAGCTGAGAGCTTTGTGAGCTGCTGCTCAAAGAGAGACGCTTAAAATGGGCCTGTATACTGGTGATTTTTACTTCTAACCAATATTTTTCACATGCATTAACTGTTCATAAAATGGCTTTTTAAAACTCGCCTTTCATGCATTAACTACTCATAATATAGCCTTTTAAAATTCTTCCTAAGGAAGAAGGAGCACAGGAGTGAACTAAACACATGCATACTTAAACAATATTGTGGGTTTGGTTCCAGACCACTGCAATAGAGCGAATATTGCAATAAAGTGAGACATGAATTTTTTGGTTTCCCAGTGCATACAAAAGTTGTTTATACTATACTGGAGTCTATTAAGTGTGCAATAGCATTATGTTTAAAGAGACAATGTGCATACCTTAATTAAAAATACTTTATTGCTAAAAAATGCTAACCACCATCTGAGCTTTCAGAAAGTCATAATTACAGATCACCATAACAAATAATAACGAAAAAGTCTGAAATATGGCAAGAATACCAAAATGGGACTCAGAGACACAAATTCGGCAAATGCTGTTGGAAAAATGGCACTGACAGACTTACTTGATGCAGGGTTGTCACGAACCTTCAATTTGTAAAAAACAGGGAATATCTGCAGATGCAAGAAGGTAAAGCATAGTACAATGAGGTATGCCTGCATATGCCTTTAAAGGGTTAATCTATAATGCATTCAGATGGCCTAACAATAAGTAAATCAGTAAAGTAAATTTCTAGTAAAACATTTCCAAGGCAATAGGAACCTGGGCCTGCCCCTGTGAATGAGTTCTTTGCTTTTGTTTAAGCATTTCACTACTGCATATAAAAAAATGATGATGAAGATGAAGAAAAATTCCTGAAAGGTTTAGTTGGAATGCAAGAGTTGAAAAGCTTTATGGGATGGAGGACTCAGCCATCACTGTCTTCACGTATAAAATTTAATTAAGCTTTCTGCCTCTCAGCACAACTGGAAGTCGCATTGCTTCCAAAGGAGTACTAACAATGCTCTTTGTCACACACCAAGGCTGACACTCTGTAGTTCTCTCAGCACCTTGCTAGGAAATCCACATAGAAGGCTTACAGTGTTTCATAGGAAATCCACACTCACTGAAACTTACAGTGTTGCCAGGTACTAGAAGAGGCACAGCAGAGGACACATAGTTAAAAAGAAAAACAATATCGCACTCATGGTTTATTTCAAGAGGCAATCTGTTGCTGGCAAGAAGCCACAGCAGAGCTGAGTGACCTCTGACCTATAAGGAATGTGCTTTTTACCAGAGGGAAAGAAGTAGAGAGAAAGCTAACATTAACTGAGACCTACTCAGGCCAGCCAGTGAGTTAGGTACATAAAATCCATTATCTCACTTTGTCTTCACAGCCCGGACTAGATACTGTAAAGGAAATTAAGATTCAAGAGAGGTGAACGAACTTGTCAAAGGCCATATAATAGACAGTTTTATCTGATTTATTCTATACAAACAGAACCCAGATGATCATGGAGGATTTATAGTCAGGAAATCTATAATCAATCAGGAACCTTATGAACAAAACTCAAGTAGGTGTATAGCTGTAGCTCCAACTCAGACACCAAAACATAGCAGATAAAGATTATCACACAAAAGATATAGTTATGGTAAATCCTTCTTCCTATTTACATCTATTTAAATCAGGTGCTGAATTTATTTAAAGCAATTTTTGAAGAAGGCATAAGAGCCAGAAAATGTCACTGACTTATGTAGGAAGAAATAAAGTTCTGTGGTCACTTTCTCCTCCACTTCCAGTTTTTAAATAAAACTATGAGATGTGATTCATGCATTATAAAATACCCGCTTTTAAAGTGGACAATTCAGTGGTGTTTAGTATATTCATGAAGTTGTGCAACCATCACTGCTATCTAATTCCAGAACATTTCTATCACCTCAAAAAGAAATCCTATACCCATTAGTAATCATTTCCCATTACCTCTCTCAACTCCCTCAAGAAACTACAATTTACTTTATATCTCTATATGTCTATTCTATACATTTCATATACGTGGAATCATACAACATGTGGCCTTTTATGACTATCTTCTTACTCTTAGCATAATGTTTTCAAGGATCACCATGTTCTAACATGCATCAGTACTCCATTCCTTTGTATCAATTTGATTGTATAAATATGCCACATTTTCTTTATAAATTCATCAGTTGATGGACATTTGGGTTGTTTCTATTTTTTGAGCTATTTTGAATAATGCTGCTATGAACATTCATGTACACGATTATATGTAATTGTATTCTCAATTATTTGGTGCATATACATAAGGAATGGAATGCTGGGTCATATGGCAACTCTACATTTAACTTTTTGAGAAACCACCAAACTGTTCTCCACAGCAGGTGTATCATTTTATATTCCCAACAGCAATTAATAAGAATTCTAATTTATCCACATCTTCACCAACACTTTTACCTTTTTGACTATAGATAACCTAAGAGGTATGAAGTTGCATTCACTATGGTTTGATTTGAATTTTCCTAATGCCTAATGATGTTAAATGCCTTTCTATATTTTTTTGAACCTTTGTACATATATTCTTCACAGACATGGGCAAAAAACTTTCCAAATTTGATGAAAGATATAACTCTGTATATCCAACCTCAACAAACTCCAATAGGATAAATTGAAAGATAGTCACACTGACATATACTTCAAACAAACTGTAAAAACCAAAGCAAAGAAACATTCTTGCTGACAATGAGAAACCATTTGCCACATATGAGCAATTATCAATAAAAATTCTAATCAATCAAAAACCATAGAAGCCAAAACACAGAAGGATGACATATTAAAGTGCTGAAACAAAATACTGTCAACCAAGAATTCTATATCTGGCAAAAGTGCCCCTCACAACTGAGGGAGAAACTAAAATATTTACAATTAAACAAAAGCTAAGGGAATTCATTATTAGTAGAAGTACCCTACAAGGAATGCTAAAGGGAATCCTTCAAGTTGAAATGGAATGACACTAGATAACAACTCTAGGCCAAATGAAAATATAAAATTATCCAATAAAATCAACTACATATGCAGATATAAAAGCAAGTATTATTGTAGTTTTGTTTTGTTACTCCACTTTTTTATTTACATGATTTAAAAGAAATGCATAGGGGGGCTAAAGATGGCGGCATGAGGAGGGTGGCAGAAATCTCCACCCAAAACTATATATATTTTTGAAAATACAACAAATACAACTATTCCTAAAAGAGAGACCAGAAGATACAGTACAACAGTCAGGCTACATCTACCTCTGTGAGAACTCAGCATCTCATGAAAAGGATAAGATACGAAGCTGTGACCCAGCGGGACCTGAGCACACCCCCACCCCAGCTCACCGGAGGGAGGAAAAGAATCAGAGAGGGGAGGGAATGGAAGTACAGGACTACTAAATAACCAGCCCTAGCAATCTGCACTGGGAGCACAGACACACATTGCATGGGTACTGGATATTAGAGGAACAGAAAAGTAAAACCGAGATAGAGACTGCAAGACGGTCCCCACAGCTGGCTCCCCGGGACAAAAGAAAATCGGCTGCTTTTTAAAAGTGTTAAAGGGACAAGGACTTAACAGCTGGACAAAATCATCCTGGCACACTCAGTCCAGGAAGCTGGGAATCTTAAGGAACTTCAGGTGCCCTAACTCCTTGGGGGGTAACAGCCCCAAAGCCCCTCATGGTGGTAAGCAGCTTGCCATTCATTCCTCCCAGGCAGCACTGCAAGCAAACCGGCGGACCCACCACAGCTGCAGAACAGCCAGAAAACAGCCCCAACCACAGCAACCACACAGAGTGTACTCCCAGCACATAGCTAACCAGGACAGACTCAGAGGCTGCCGTCAATGCACAACTGCCCTCTACAGACAGATGAAGACAGAGCAAGGTCTGGAAGGCATGAAGAAGTGCCATTCTAACAGGAGAACAAACCTGAAATGTCTGCAAGCCCCTGCAGGGTGCTAGGCTATCCTGAGGGCCACCCCACCCACAGCAGCTCAGGAGATTATCCCAGAGACTGCTCCCAGTGTATGTGTAAACGGCACAGGCAGCGGAAGCTGCAGCAAGGTCCAGGAGGCATGATGGGGGGCCGTTGTCACAGGAGAACACACCCTGCATGTCTGCCACCCCCCACATGGAACTAGGCAATACGGAGGGCCACCACACTGACAGCAGCACTGGAGATTATCCCAGAGACTGCTCCCTGAGTGCAGGTAATCAACACAGGCAGCAAAGAAGGGCAAGGCAACCAGCAAGCAGGAAGGGACCTTGTTCTCCCAGGTGACAGATGCGCCACATGCGTGCAACCACTTCTATCACCATGAAAAGGCAGAAGAACGTGCTCCAGTCAAAAATCACACACCAAACAATGTATGAGACAAATGACAACAACACTATGGAGCACCAACTTCTGTGGGACACAGCAAAGACAGTTCTAAGAGAAAGTATATAACAATCCAGACATATTTAAAGAAGGAAGAACAATCCCAAAGAGAAGGCCTGATGAGAGATATAACCAATCCTCCTGAAAAATAATTCAAAATGAAAGTCATAACAATGCTAATAGACCTGAACAGAAATATGCAAGAGCTAAGGGATGAAGTCTGGTGAGAGATAACAGAAATGAAACAATCAATAAAAGGTCTTAAGACTAGACAGGAAGAGGTGCAAGAGTCTTGTTAATGGAATAGAAATCAGAGAACAGGAATACAGAGAAGCTGAGGCAGAGAGAGATAAAAA